CCACTAGTCTGCATTAAATCGAATTCACATAATTTAACTAATATTTTTTATTTAGGAAGAAATCATCCTGTTAATTTAGTATTAATTATCTCATTTCTCAGTAACGACTAAGTTATTTTAGCCAGTTTCTATTTATTGAGTTATAGAAATTCCATTGATTTCCTAAGGTCAGGATCCAGGGTATTTCCATGCCCTCGGGAAAAGACTGGTTAAGAGTTCGATGTAACTTCGAATTGATGATGATTAGCCATGCTTGCATCCACATTTCTGGCAGATGCCAGATAAATGTTACGTTATTTTGCACCTTAACTTATAGTAGCTCGTTCTGGAGGCTAGCCCAATCGTTTTGTTGCGATCTGATCAAAGTTTTACGACGATAGATTTTATCTATTTGATTTACCATATATCTCTATTGAATTTGAATTGATTATCTCTATCTTTCAGACTAACATGCACCTTTTATCTTATCTCTCATCTTATATCTATTTAGGACCCCATCTATCTGCAAATAAATATTAGGAAAATGTATGAGATACAATATTTATATTTTGCTTAAACTTGCTGATAAATTTTAGTAAAGGTTTATCTTTTTAAATGATTTGGGACCCAAACCTTTATTATAGATATTTTGATCCTATCGATTTGTTACGAATTAATTATTTAAAGTTATTTTAATTCTCGTGTGCCTTTATTTTTTCCCGTCCTTCGCAAGATTGGTTCAAGCGCTATGCCATACAAGCGAAATCCAATTCGGTGCGAGCGAGCTTGCGCTCTATCTCGCTACCTTATGTCTCAGGCTAGCAATTGTCTGGCTACTGCTTCCGTTCAATGGCTCGAACGTTCTCTAGATGATTCAGCGATCAGACGTATTGTATTACCCGAGAGCTGTCTCACTGCAGATGCCTGCCTCATCATCCTGCAAAATATTGCTGAAGGTCTTGTTGTCTATGATAAGGCGAGTACTTTGGTGTCTATTTGCAATACGTTTTTCTCCTGAGCAAAATTGCATTAGATAAGCTTCTTACTCAACAAATATTGTAAATGCTAATTGAGCATTCAATTTTTTTAGTATATTCTGCATCGTGCTTTTACCATAAAGTTATAACAATCTATAAGGTGAAAATAACTGATAGTTGAATTGTCCCACAATGCTATAAGTTGAAATATTCGACTATCAGTCCTTCATTACCTTTATACCAAGGGTGACTGGCTCTTATTA